CAATCTCAAGCATATGGGGCCAGCACCCTACTCCTTTGAGCCACAGGTGCCGCCCCCAAAGTAAATTTTTAAAAATATGAACAGGTTAAAATAGCACAGTCCCAAAGAGCATCATTTAAAAAAGAAAAAAGTCTATATTTACTAGAAGCAGCTCTAAATCATTACTACAAAAAAAAAAAAAAGAGAGAGAGAGAGAGAAAGAAAGAAAAACCAAGACAATTTCAAATGACATTCACTGTCAAAAGGTTCAATGAATTGAAGCAGTTTAGTTGAGAGAAATCCACATGACGCCATCTTCTGCCAATGGCTATTTTCCTACATGCTGAGCATCTAAAAAGAACGTACTAAGGACTCTTATTCCTGGCGGCCTATACATTTGCAAAGCTTACAATCTGCAGCTATAAAGACAAACCATAGAAAACTTTAGGACCTATGACATCCAGTAGAACCTCTAAGTTAACCCCCCAAGGGATTGTAACAAACTAGTCATCATATGGAGGTGGTCAACATAGGGACTACCTGCCTAATTCTGTTTTGGGAACTAGGCCTGCTGTACTGATATATACATTTTGTGCATGTCCAAACTATGAAAATTAGCTCAATTAAGGAGGTGATCAATGTAGGGAGGTGGTCAACTATAGAGGTTCTACTGTTAAAATTTATTTACATGCAAAAAAGCACACACATACCCATTTCCAGCATTTCTCTCTAAAGCAAAGATTTTTATTCTCTCTCATAAGTACATGTACAACACAAACCATATACTCTCTCTACCTGAAGCATGGACTTTGGGTGTGGAAGTTCCTCTCCTTGATAAATTTTAATGTAAGCCTAAAAAGAGAAAAGATTCGTTATACTGGTAGGTTATATAATTTGACTCTATCCTACCCAAGAAAGAAAAATCATGAAATATACAAATAATTCACACCATTAAAAAAGAAATTTCTAGGCTCAAAAATTATACTCTCTGATTCCAACAAAGTTAACCTATTCTCAATATTATTAAATACATGTTGCTAAGTAATACCCTAGAAAAGTGTTTTCTAAATATAATTCCGACTTGCAAACAAGTTATATCTCATATTTAAAGTTATGTATAAAATGCCATCCACTTTATGAAAAGAAATCCATAACTCTCCCATTCCATCAATGTTTCAAATATAGATCATGTTAAAAAACATTTTAACCCATTATTTTGCTTTGACTAGCTTAAATTATATTTCAGCTCAAGGAAAAAAATTACCTAATTTTTAGTTTAAGAAGAAGAAGAAAAGGATGGGAGTTTTTAGAAGTTGATACAGGAGTCTTTCAACTTTCTACTGACTCAAAATTAATTCATAACAAAGATAATCTGAGACTGATTTTTAAGTGCCCCAAAAGTAAAAATATACTCTTAGTTAATGGCATTTTCCTTTCCACCTGTCTATAACTACTGTGAATAATACAACCTTTTCCCATCGTCTTGTTCTGGCAGACAAGCTATAAAGACTACAGAAAAGTAGAGAAAAAAAACTATGAATAATTAACTTGAACTCAGAAACTGGCCTAGAGACTTTTGGCTTTATCAAATCCTCAGAAGTCTGAGTGAATGCTTCTATGAGAACTCAGGGTGCCGAATTATGCTCCCAATTCCTATTCACAAACGACAGAATGGCATTACAATATAATGAATGGCTCTTCTCTCCATATCAGAGATGGAAAAAAAGTAGGATAATTCTGTAAACTAATAAAATCACTGTCTAGAAAACACAAGTAGTCTACTATAATCTTTTATAGATCCTTAAATATTGACACATTTAAGGCAGAAAAATAAACTGTATATATTTTTGCTTTAAAATAGACATACAGATGAGTTTTAAGTCAACTATGTTTCTATCTTACACAAAGCTTTTTAATTTTAAAGCGATCACCTACCTTAAAATATTCTACAAGATCTCTACAAGTGACTTTAGATCCACTTATTTCTTTTTCTACCAAATTTTCAGGGGCAAGCAGCAATGGAATCAGATTTCGAAGCTCTCGTTTAAAGTCATCATCAATATCTAGTGGACACAAAATTAATTATTACTTAAAAAGAAAAAATTAAGGAAGTCTCCACTGGTATGAGTTCATAAAATTCTATTTGATGAAATAAGAGTACACGTATCTATTAACTTAAGTGGATTCATTAAAAAAAAAAAAGTCATCTAAACATGCCACATTTTGCTGGGAACAGTGGCTCACACCTGTAATCCCAGCACTTTGGAAGGCTGAGGTGGGACTATCATTTGAGGTCAGGAGTTCAGGACCACCTGAATAGGAGCAAGACCCCATTTCTACTGAAAATGGAAAAATTAGTGGGTATTGTGGTAGGCACCTATAGCCCCAGCTACTCAGGAGGCTGAGGGAGGAGGATCACTTGAGTGTAGGAGTTTGAGGTTGCTGTGAGCTAGGCTGACACCACAGCACTCTCGTCTAGGCATCAGAGTGGGACACTTTCTCTCCCCCAACCCCCCAAATGCCATATCTCAAAGAAAATAATTATACTCCATCCTAGCCCATTTCTCCCAACCCTCAAACATCCTTTTAGCTCAAATAATAAATAAAATAATTTATGGACTACTGAAACAAATTCCACATTAAGTAAAATATCCTTTTCAAAAAAGGCAAACAATTCATGAGATTGTATTAAACATTACTACTAAAATTGTTTTTTCTAGTCATACAATTGTCAAGTCTCAAGCCTTTTGCCATCACACTCAAAATAACCCCAAAGCATGTACACAAAAATATCACCACCCCCAAAACAGAGACTTAAATCTGCTTTATCAGCAGGCCTTTCAGCAGACTACAATTAGCTGAAATATTGTAAAGAAATGTTCTCACAGTCTTCAGAATTTTCAAGACATCAGTACTGAGCAACAGAACACATTATAAAATAGATTATTCAATACCCGAGATTGTAAAGCTGGAGGGACAGCACAGAGCACTGCAGTCACAATGTTAAAAATGCACCAGATGCCTCCAGTATAAGACAGGAAATATAACGAGTCATGTATTTAAAGAAAAACTTTCAGCCTCTAAAAAGTAACTTCTGAATTTAACAAGAATGGGAATTCCCACCTTTTAGTCTCCCATCAAAACTAGGATTAGTTGCAACTTTAAGACCGGGGTGTGGCAAAAGGAAGCAACCAAGATTTGAGAAACAATTGTGAATGTGCTTCCTTACATTCTGTAACTCTTCATGTTGATTTTGCTTTACCTGAGGGCAGAGGAAACAGGGTGAAGTTGTACACTGGAGAAAAAATAAGTTTTTTTAAAAAAAGAAAACACACACACATACTCAGATTCATGTGATACTTAACCAGAGGGGTGGTTTTTTTTGACAATAAAGGGCCCATTCTAACCACTCTGTTAAGACGCCACATTTTTCTTAAACTTTCTTAAATTTAGGAAAAGATATTTTCTCCCTGAGTAAACTGCCTAGAGTAGCAAATATATATATAAATAATCATAATATCTAACATCTGAATAACAAGTTGTGGCTGTGACTTATGTATCAGTAAATAATAATTTACCTTTGAAGTACTTATAAGTACTTTTGCCAATAAGACAAAATAGCAAAGTACTAATTTGCCTATAAATAAAAAGATTAGCCCCTGAGCAAAGAAACAGCTAAGGCAGAAAGTTCCAGTGCAGTCCAAAGAACCTTAGAAATCTGTTAGCATTTCAGGGTTCTCTCTACTTACGTTTTGTGCTAGTTATTAGAATTTCAGAAGAGAAATTGCTATATATTTTCAGGAAGGAAAGCTTAAACCTAGAAACATTCTGAATAATTACTTGCTTACCCCGATGTAACTCAGAGTCTCCCAAAGACTCTTCTCAAAAACTACTCTCACAAAACACACACCATTCATCACTAAAATCTGGAAACTACCTAAATCTCCACCAAAAGAGGAATGAAAAGACTGCTGTCCATTCAGTCAGTGCAATGTTGTATAGCAATGAGAATAAATGGATTAAACTACATGCAACAATATGGATTTACCTCAGAAACACTATTAGGCCAAAAAGCTAGACACAAAAGAATACATTCTGTATAGGATTTCACTCACATAAAGTACAAAAACAAAGTCTATCAGAAGTCAGGATAGTGGTATAAAGTTTTAGGGATTAGTGTATGAGAATGGATGCTTCTAGGCGCTGGCTACATGGCTATGGTCATTTTGCACAAATTCATCAAACTATACATGATCTGAACAATTTTCTGAATACATGTTTTATATATCAACAAGAAGTTCAAAAACATAGTTTTTGAGCTACATAAATCTGAGTTTAGATTACATGCCTCATGTGCTTTGTGTTAATTTCTTCTGAACGAAACAGAGAAAACGCTAATGATTCAAATGATTTCTGACAGCAGGGTCTGGAAATGCCTTGCAAATAAGCCAAGAAAGAGAAATTGGTAATCTCACTTTAGGAATAAAAATAATTATACTGTCACTCCAATTTTGTGAATGTTACTGAAAAACCAAATGCATAATCCCACAGACAGACCAGATCTTATTAACCAAAAGAGAGCACCACCTACTTATGAATAAAGGAATCTCTATGCATCTTTTGCATCTATGAGGAAGTATCTGAACTGCACGGTGCCTTCATGAAGAACGGGTCATGACCACGCTGCTGAGGTTATTTCCCAGAAGTGCCGGCACAGGGGTGGCATGCTGCACAGGAGTCAGGACATTTGGGTCCCAGTCCCAGTTATCAATAATTAGGTAAACAACCACGGACAGGTCATATTGCTGTGTCTCAGTTTCATTGAGCATTTAAAAGAAAACAAGGCTGACCTACATGATGTTTAACACCCCTTTCCCAGCTCTACATGCTGTCAGCCTAAGAGACAGCATTCCTCTGAAGGGAGGGCTCACATCATGCAAGCACAGACCTGTCCCAAATGTTCAGAAGCTCAGTTGGCCCAGAAAGAGACATGTAAGAAATCCAAGTAAATCAAACAGTTAGTCTCCTTTAAAAACTTATCCTTTGAATATTTATTTACAGAGGGGAAAGTGGCTCTGGAGAGACATACTTGTTCTGTAATTTTGATTCCAGGACATTGTCTTCTCAGGCAGGAGTACAACCAATTTATTTTTCACCACTTCTATGTATAAAGTCACCTGGGCTAGCTACCTTGGGACACCTCATTCCACTGACACATAGAGACTGGTAGTATGAGCAAGAGTCTAGACAGACCATCCTGCACGGTGTTTATGCTCTCTTTTCCAGGAAGTGGGGGCTTACCTGCAATCTCTTCTCAAGAAATTGTTTTCCACCTTCCAAACCATATGAATGTTCATAAGGATAACTCCAATCTCGAATCAAAAACATTAACGTCTATACACACAAAAAAAGTCATTTCTTTAAAAAACATCGAAACTTTAATAATTGAAGCTTTCCTTACTGTCCTAAACAATCCTTATCAAAATTTGAGTTACAGTATCCAAATGACCGGTACTGCTGATGGTTACATCAAGAGTAAACCAGCAATATTCCCAGCCCCTAACACCTAGGAATTTCCACCATTTGAGAACATCACTGCATATAAAAACAAAGTCACCACAAACAATAATATAGGATTTGAAGAATGAACAAGAAAGGCTCATCTGTAGCAGGGCATACAGATCATAATTTTAAAAGAAGACTACATAACTAGAAGACCAACTAATTGCAGATGGCTAATTATAAACTGATTATAAATTTATTGTCAATAAGACAACTGCACTTTTTTTGGGGGGGGGAGACAGAGTCTCACTTTGTCACCCTTGGTAGAGTGCCATAGCATCATAGCTCACAGCAACCTCAAACTCTTAGTCTCAAGTGATCCTTTTCCTCAGCCTCCCAAGTAGCTGGGACTACAGGCACCTGCCACAGCACCCGGCTATTTTTAGAGACAGGGTCTCACTCTTACTCAGGCTGGTCTCCAACTTCTGAGCTGGGGCAATCCACTTGCCTTGGCTTCCTAGAGTGCTGGGATTACAGGTGTGAGCCACCACGCTTGGCAGTTTCACATTATTCATAAAGGATTAGGTTTCACAATTCCAGCATACTGACGTTTGGGGCCAGGTGACTCTGAGTCACATGTGGTTGTTCTGTGTCTTATAGGATGTCAAAAAGCATTTCTGGCCTCACTGCACTAGATGCTAGTAGCACTAACCTCCCTCACAAAACTGGGACAATCAAAAATGTCTCTAGGCATTGGCAAATGTCCCTGGGTGGCAAAATTACCCTACTTCAGAAAAGCTGATATAGGATAAACAGAGCATATTTTACACAAATGAAAATGAAGCCATAATGTGCCCAACTATTTCATAAAAGTAATCACTTCAGCCAGACAAGGTGAGGTAGAATCAATGTAAACCCAGTACACTAACAATCAGTGGCAACGCTGTCATATAGGAAGGATCTCATACTGATGAGCAAATATGGTGGAGTCATTCCCCCTACCATAACTACAGCTTGCCAAGTAGCATTAGTGGCAACTTATAAATCACACTTGCTTTGAAAAACAGACTGAATCTTTTTTATATGAAATCAATATAATTAACAACAAAACTAATTTCAAAGTGTAATATACCACAAAAAAGAAACCTGGAACATTTTATAATTGTTCTTCATGTATTAAAAAATAATTCAACATGACTGTATTAAATTCTTTAAGTTTTAGACTTAAATACTATGTAAGAGAAACATTATCCCCTTAATCTAAGTAAAAACATTAAGAATCCATCTACTGTAGATTTGTTCTGTTTCCTATCCTGTTAGCCTATACCGATAAATAAGCTGGTGATAACGTTACCATAAGTTAGTTTCAACCCTACTGAATCTATTGGTAAAAACGAGTTTCTCCTGTCTCCAAAGTGATAGCTGAGGTAGCTTGACAGCTTCTCACAGACAACTTATTGTTTATTGTAAGTTAAAATACTTATTTACCTGAAAAGGTTTCTGGTAGATTTCTTCCATTGCAAGTCTTCCATATTCTGTAAATAACTGTTAAATCAAGTTACTTAAAATAATGTCCTCAATGAGATTGAAAGAAGATATTTTAAAAACTGTTCTATACCAAAGCATCAGATGTCAAAGTCTTTAAAATCATTTGAAAGCCAAGCATTCTATTTTCTAATGCACTGGGCACATACTGAAACTTCTTACAACTAAAAAGTCATACATCAGTTTTAACCCAAATAACTTTCAATCTTTTTTAACAATTTTATAGGCTTCTAAGTGTGAATTCACAATAAAGTGAGAATTAAATATTCAATACTTTGGCATATTTTCTTTGAGACATACATACTTGCAAGTGTTGAAGATCATCTTCTTGAATATTCTGAGACAGATTATATACCTGAAAATAAAATTTGTTTTTTATTAATGTTTTATTTTGAATACCCAGCTTACAGGTAAACTTTACACGTGGAAATAAAGGTTACCTAGTACCTCAGCACAAATGAGCCACTTAGTCATTATTCAACCAGTGGCCCATAAAAAGGATTATCTCTTTTTTCCTAATGGTCAAGATAAAACATTAAGGAAGAAGCAGTGCTGGTAAAATATGTAAAAATCATGAACACATGAATAGTCATGGTCTAAAGTGGTAGACATTTTTAAAAAGTGTATTACATAGTTAAGTTTCTTTTTCTCCTTAAAAGTTTTTTTTTTAATGCTATGATCATTTAAAAAAAAAAGAGAAGGCTGTTTCCACATCATTTTTCCAAGTCAGTGAATGTGAGGGGCAATAGTTCTACAAAGATAAATTCCTCCTCTGCATATAATCAGACTACGCGGTTATTCAGTGGATGCCTCATATACCATTGACTCTAATATGGTTTCTCCTTTCCCTCATATTCACCAGTCTTAATAATTTATTTTTTTGAGACAGAGTCTCATTATGTCACCTTCGGTAAAGTGTCATGGCATCACAGCTTACAACAATCTCAAACTCTCGGGCTTATGTGATTCTTCTGCCTCAGCCTCCCAAGTAGCTGGGACTACAGGCACCTGCCATACCACCCAGCTATTTTTTGGTTGTAGTTGTCATTACTGTTTGGCAGGCCCAGGCTGGGTTTAAACCCGCCGGCTCCAGTGTGTATGTCTGGTACCCTAGCCGCTGAGCTACAGGCACCAAGCCCACAGTCTTAATAATTTAACATTAAAATTTTACCAGTCTGTGGAAGCTAATAAAACAACAGTAGGTGGCACTCTTGCCCTTTCCAGAATTTTTAGGAACGTTTCCAAGTTACAGTCCAGAGCTAATAGAAAAGGGTCTAAATATCTTCAGAAAAGGGAGATTTTCTTTCAGTAATTACAAGACAAGTCTTTAGAAGGTAATCTAGGCTGCCAAATGAGAAAAGTGGCCAGCCACAAACATCACCTCTGCTAAGAAATAATTTATATCCGAGCAAACAGGGTTATTCCAAAGATAGAACAATTTGTTCCAACAGCAAAAAAGTGATAATCTTACTGAACCACTTGGAGGTCAAGAACAAAAATAGTCAATATAGGCTAACAAACCTAAAATGATATTCTCAGTTACTGAATAATTCCAAAAAGGGCATGTAAAAAGGTAATCAATGACCTAGGTGATTAAACTTTAGATTTAAACTTAATATCTGCCAACATGACCAACCTATTCTTATCCATGCAGGGCTTAGCTTTTGGAAAATAGTTACAGATCCTTTCAGCATCAAGGCCAGGTTGCAAATAGTTAAGAGAGGAGACTTGTTTAACTTAGATCGTTAGCCCTTGGCATACTGCCTTGTACTTATAGGTGCTTAATACATATTTGTTGAAAGAATAAATGACAAGAGGATAAATTTGACATTGCTTTATCAGCTGGATATCTTATATAAGGAAAGAAAACTACCCTCAAAGATCAGGAAGAAAGCATTAATAAATATCTTAAATCTTTTTGGTTATTTATAGGTTACAAAGCACTTACATATATGCATTGTATCTCATTTAGATCTCATTGCTGATTGGATCTTATTTGGATCTCATTACTGACTGCACACAGCTACCACGTGTGAGATACAGATAAGAAAGTGGCTAAGTCACAGCATCCCCCCTTGAAACTAATATTTTCTTCCTTCCCTTTGCTGCCTTATCCTATTGCTGGTCTGCAGGAGCAAATATTCTACTTGCTCCTGAAGTCTAAAGACTGGTGCCCAAACATGTGCTTAATAAATGCCTTTTTGTTACAGACACAAAAATGAAAGTGTCTGTGTAGCTTTCAGTGATTGTCCAAAACCAGGTCCACTACTATCAGAAAGCTAAATGATAAGAGAAGATCACAAGGGACAAGTTCTAAAACACAGAATTCCCTTGTTATAATTTAAGATAAACCCTAGAGCCAGCTAACCTGAGGGCCTATAAGACATAAACAAAAAGAGATGGTTTCTGCTTGCCTCAAGGAAATCACTATTGTGCCATCTGATAAGGGAAGACAGAAAGAGGTAAAGCAAAATTTTTAAAAAAAGACTTCCAGGGTTCCTCACAGCATCACTTAGTGAGTAATATCAGAGACCCCCAGCCCTAAAATAAACAGAAGTCAAGCTTTGAGAACTGTTTCTTAGCTCACATTAATATCCAACCTTTCTACTCTCATAACTAGGTGCTTCAAATTGAGGAAAGAGGGAAATGGAGCTTAGAGAAACTGGTCTTAAGTTCCAGACATTAGTGGGAAGTATAACAATAACACACTATGACAGTATCACCTACAATTTACCACCAATAAGAAAAATTTCTTATCTTAGGAGGAATGCATACCCCCTCCATTTTCTAAAAATACTTGCAAATACACTGTTTTTTAGAATATAAAAGTGTAAGTTTATTTTATATTACAGAAAGGGAAGAGAGTAGGTGGGGGGAAGAGAACAGGGAATGAAAGAAGGGAAGATGGGGGAGAGGGAGAGAATGGCGTGGCATCAGGGAATGAAGGAAGGGTAAGTGGGGAAGAGGGAGAGAATGACGTGGCATCTCAAAGAAAGAAAGGAAGAATGCCAGCCGCAAACGTACTTCTTGGTACACCATCACGAGCTGGGGCTAACCACCACAGTTCAATAATTCATTTTTCAAACAGAGATGTACCGACCACAAATGATCTCAAAAAAAAAAAAAAGGAATACAAAATGATAATAGTATAATTTAGTTCAGTCAACCTAAATTATATAGAAAAACTTGGTCTAGCTTAAAGAAACTAGAACTTGATAGAACACCAAACACAATTATAGTATAAATGAAACATAGAAGGGATTTTACTCCTTTCTAAATGAAGCAGGTGCTAAAAGCATCACTTAGGTTTCCTAAAATAACAATTAATTCTTATGCTTCTATCTCCTTTTTCAAATAACCAAATACTGGATATTTGCCATGGGTATTGAATAGAAAATTACACTTCTGAATTTAATTTCTTCAGTTTGTTTGGTTTAGCTGAAAAACAAAAATATAATCTATACCTTACTGCGTCTGGCTGCTATCTGCCTGATTCCAACTACAGATAACATGCAGTAGCTTTTCCTTTGGGGGGGGAAAAAAAGCACAGGCTGGGTGTGGTAGATCATACCTATAATCCCAGCACTTTGGGAGGCCAACATGAAAAGACTGCTTGAGGCCAGGAATTCACGACCAGCCTGAGCAACACAATGAGAAGCCTTCTCTATAAAAAATTATGAAAATTAGCTGGGTGTGATAGTGGGCACCTGTAATTCCAGCTACCTGGGAGGCTGAGGCAGGAGGATCGCTAGAGCCCAGAAATTTGAAGTTGCAGTGAGCTATGAAGACACCACTGCACTCTAGCCCAGTTAACAGAGCAAAACTCTATCCCAAAATAAAAAATAAATTAAAAGCATACACCCTACAATGAAAAACAAAAAGGATTGTAAAGTATGAAATTTCAAATTGTGAGCCACAACCAGGTGTTGCCGTAAGGGTCACACACAAAAGCCATGTCACAAAGAATAAGCACGCTTATTGAAATTGTGTTTTAAATAAAGGTGACCTAAACTGTGTTTTAAATAAAGGTGACCATCTGCTCGCTCAGGCAAAATGGCGAGCTTCTTTATTTGCAGCTAGCTTATATAGGGAATTTTGTACATGAGCACAATGCAGCAATGACCTCATTGATCCATTTAAACAGCTTATGACCACCTGCCTTGTAAGTTTCTCCTCCCTAGTAATCTGATAATCTACCCAATATACACCTTTAAGCATAATCCTTTCAATATAACCCGGTTTAACATAACTTAATGAAGAACAAGTTGTCAGTTATTACTTTCTTTGATCTTATCTGATCTTATCTGATTTCCCCCTGAGGCTGCGGGGGGGGGGGGGGGGAGAGACAATTTAAGTGTTTCACCTATATTTCCCCCTTCTTTTTCTTACTGGCATTACTGACCATGCCATTTGGGGACCATTACTTCAAATCTTCAAGCAAAGCATAGAGAAACTTCTTGGGCGTACAGGAGTTTGTGTGCAGTCAGGAGGGTTTTTGCTGAAGACTTTTACAAGGAATTCTCAGGCTGGACTTCTCAAAAGCCTTTCATGAGCCCAGGTTTTATCTGTGCCATTAGATATCTGTATGACATAACCATTCCCAGACCTGTCAGTAAGCGACCTTCGTCACTTACCACAGATCAAGAAAGGTTCCAAAGGGCTTTTTCATAGGCCTTATAAAGTCAACCTCAATTCCTTAACGCAGTCTGGAAATGCTATTCCAGCCAAAGCCTAGGTCATGTTAGGCCCACAACTAACCTGGCCACATGGGATTCTGCCTCAGTTTCTTAAGTATGCCTGCACAAAGTCTTTTCACTGCTCTCTCTTGGCCAGAGGCATATAGGCGTTTCGCCTATAACCAGGACACACCAAACATGTAAATGTAAATGACCAATAAGAAATGTAAACACTCTGTTTAATTTTAATTCCTTTTCCTCTTCAATCAAAAGGCCTTTTGTCAGGGCACAGTGGCCTATGCCTAAAGTCCAAGCTATTCAGGAGAATGATACAGGAGGATTTCCTGAGCCCAGAAGTTCAAGGCTGTATTGTGCTATGATCAGACCAAGCGCACAGACATTGTACTCCAACCTGGGCAACAAAGCAATACTTTGTTTCAAAAAAAAAAAAAAAAGCCATTTTGAGGAAGGCCCAAAGGATTATGTAGACTGATTATACCACTTAATCACACGTCTCACCTGGACAGAGCTAGTCATAGTGCTCAAAGCAAACACCGTTGCACAGTCTTTAATAGTTGACTGGCTATCAAAGGCACCTTGGGTATCCATAAGCAGCACAGCAAC